AATTCAACCACTACACAGAATTCAGCAATATTCACGATAAGGTAAAAGTCACTTTACAGATAGATGTACTTTGAGAAGTGTAATGACTCTGGAGTAGAAGAAAGAGCATGAATACGCTCATTTTGCCATGCCAGCTGACACACATAATGCAGTCTTTGACTACTGAACTGTAGCAACTGGCATCTCAGTTCTCAATCACACGCTGCTCTATCCATCCTCCTTCACCCTCTGTGCCCGTCCTCACCTCTCCCAGGGCTGGACCCTCCTCTGTGCCCATCCTCAACTCTCCCAGGGCTGGACCCTCCTCTGTGCCCATCCTCAACTCTCCCAGGGCTGGACCCTCCTCTGTGCCCATCCTCACCTCTCCCAGGGCTGGATCCTCCTCTGTGCCCGTCCTCACCTCTCCCAGGGCTGGATCCTCCTCTGTGCCCGTCCTCACCTCTCCCAGGGCTGGACCCTCCCCTGTGCCCGTCCTCACCTCTCCCAGGACTGGACCCTCCTCTGTGCCCGTCCTCACCTCTCTCCCAGGGCTGGATCCTCCTCTGTGCCCGTCCTCACCTCTCTCCCAGGGCTGGATCCCTCATCTGTGCCTGTCCTCACCTCTCTCCCAGAAGTGTATGCAATTTTAACACTCCTGAGGCTACAAGGTCAATTGCAGGCAGCACTAGGCTAGAACTACAGGTTGTACTGCAGTCTGCAGTTATTCTGGGAGTCAAAACATGAACCCTGAGACCATACCAGGCCACCTGAATTTCTGAGTCAAGTATGGAATTATTCTAGCCTCCTTGGTGTCCCTCTAACTGAAGACTAAGCAGACTGGCCAGAGGCAAGATCTAAGTGGACTGACTATAGGATCCCTCACCACACAGAGCCTGGAGGAAGGAACCAACAGAACAGGAATTGAAACAATAAGCTGGCCTGCTTTTCTTCTCTTTTCTTTTCTCTTCTTTTTCAAGGTTTCTGATAAGGTCTTTTTTCTTTTTAAGATTTATTTTATTTTTATTGGAAAGTCAGATATACAGAGAGGAGAACAGAGAGGAAGATCTTCCATCCGATGATTCACTCTGCAAGTGACCGCAACGGCTGGTGCTGAGCCAATCCGAAGCCAGGAGCCAGGAACTTCCTCCAAGTCTCCCACACGGGTGCAGGAACCCAAGGATTTGGGCCATCCTGGACTGCATTCCCAGGCCACAAGCAGGGAGCTGGATGAGAAGTAGAGCTGCTGGAATTAGAACGGGCCGCTCATATGGGATGGGATCCCGGTACATTCAAGACGAGGACTTTAGCTGCTAGGCCATCGTGCCAGGCCCTGGCCTTCTTTTTCTTCTTCTTCTTTTTCTTTTTTTTTTTTTTAACAAATCCTAGAAGATCTCCTTTCTGAAAGCAAACATTTGTCTTTTACTACAGCCTTATGAAGGTGGTAGCTAGACCCTCTAAGAACCTGTTTCTAGATATAGTGTGACCTAAGATCCTCATAAGAATACCAAGAAGCGGGCCCAGAGCAGTGGCATAGCAGCTAAAGTCTTTGCCTTGAACACACAGGGATCCCATATGGGCACTGGTTCTAATCCCGGCAGCCCTGCTTCCCATCCAGCTCCCTGCTTGTGGCCCAGGAAAGCAGTCGAGGACGGCCCAAAGCTTTGGGACCCTGCACCCGCGTGTGGGAGACCTGGAGGAAGTTCCTGGTTCCTGGCTCCAGATCAGCACAGCACCGAACTGGATTATTATCTTGATTTGTTGGAAGAACCCTGACCAGATCCTTTGGGGGGATTTTTGGCGCAGCTGTTGTGGTCACTTGGGGAGTGAATCACTGGATGGAAGATCTTCCTCTGTCTCTCTTCCTCTCTGTATATCTGCCTTTGCAATAAAAATAAAATAAATCTTAAAATAAAAAAGAATACCAAGAAGGGGCTAATAATAAACTTTGTTAAATAAACAAAACAAAACTTTAAAAAGTACCAATCTAGCACACACACCCCTTCCTTATAATGTGTATACAATTGGGAATTCCTCTGTGAGCAAACAAGTGCTTTCAAGGGTTACTTAACCAGATTAACACCTTTTTCTTGAGAATGCACAGACCACAAATCTTCACGTGTTCAGGAAAGCCAGTTTCCAAGGTTTTCATCAGAGTTGGTCTAACGTCTGACATACTCCTTATCCTCGTTTACTTCAAGTATTATTAATAGGACTCCTGGGGTTTGTTATCTTGACTTCAGCACTTTGTGGCCTCAATAAAGGCTGCCAAGACAGAAAGGTCTACAAGTCTAAAGTCGCACCAAGGCACCACCACCTGCAGCGCAACTCCTCTACTGTGACCTTGGGGGAGGAGGAGAAAAAATTCCCCCTAAGGATCTGGTCAGGCTCTTCCAACAGGCCAAGATGATAATCCAGTTGGCCAAGTAGCCATGACAAGGCAAAGGGGAGCAATTATTCACACACTGCACCTCGTGCTGTATAACAGATGGCCATAGTAACTAAATAAGGCAGATAATGATACCATGTGCCCTCCATTTCACAGGAGAACCAGTCCTAATGTAGGTGGTCCTGCTAGCCTGCTGGCCTCACAAGTTTTGAAAATAAACTTGTTGGTATCCTGGGAGTTCTTCAGATCAGAAAGAAACATTGTAACTCTTTGGAAAGACTTGTAAAAGTTCCCAAGGCAATAAAGGCAAAGCTGTTTCAATCTCAAATCTTTGAGAAACTTAATCTCTACCCAAATTTATCTGACAGTGAAGACAGTTATCAATTCAACTCACTGCCAGCCCTGCAAATGGAGAGGAATGCCTATTTACAGATTGGGAGGGGGGATGGAGGGGAGAATAGCCACAGCTGTCATCCCCTTCCTGCAAGAGTGTATCAACTGCCACCTGGCACTTCCCCATCCTGGCTGGGGGGAAGACGTGAAGAGAAGCACTTAGGGCAGCCTGTCCTGAGAGAAGGACTCAGGAAAAGTGGTTACGTGCTGTGGGAAGGATATCTAACAGACTGACCTCCAAGGCAGAGTTTTTCTCGGGGCAATACTGAAATGGGTGTGGCAAGGACTAGACTTCCTGGCAGAATAATCTTAGGGGACACAAGGCTACCAAGTTACTCTCAGGAAGCTGCTTCCACAAAATGTGACTCCAGACAGCCATGCCATGGAATGGAAAGCTGGATATTCCTTCTCCAGCCCCCACGGACCTGTAAGGTGATTTTTGTCAAGAATCCTGAACTCAGGCCCAGCACAGTAGCCTAGTGGCTGAAGTCCTCACCTTGCATATGCTGGGATCCCACATGGGTGCCAGCTCATGTCCCGGCTACAACATTTCCCTTCCAGCTCCCTGCTTGTGGCTTGGAAAAGCAATAGAGGACAGCCCAAAGCTTTGGCACCCTGCACCTGCGTGGGAGGCCCAGAAGAAGCTCCTAGCTGCTGGCTTTGGATCAGCTCAGGTTCAGCCATTGCGGCCACTTGGGGAGTGAGCCAGTCAATGGAAGAGCTTTCTTCTCTTCTCTGTAAATCTGACTTTCCAATAAAAACAAATAAATCTTTTTTAAAAATCCATAACTCAATCTTTCTCACAACCCCAATAAGAATTTACTTTCCCAAAGAGTTCGTAAATTCCAAGCTTGAGACTCCATTAAAATTGAGCATAGCTTAGTTTCTACTCTACTTTATCCCCACCTCCTTCTTGAGTGTGATATAGAGCTCAGTGATTTCAACCAGGAAAATCCACGCCTGCAGGTCACCCTTCCTCTTCCTTGTAATCGCCTACCCTGCACACGCAACAACTTTCCTGAACTCCAGTTTCTCTTCAGCTGTAAAGCGCGAAGGGCCACACCTTCCACACCCACCTCGGTCAATCCTGAGACTCATGGGAGGGGAGACACAGAGAGAATTTTCAAACAGCAAAGCACGGTACGAGTATTGGTTGCTACCTTTGGTGGGGAAGGGAAAACAAATGGATAAAAATAGAGCGAGAAGAGATTTTTTCCCACCTGGAAGAGGATGGGAATATAATGAGGGGGGAATTTTAGGCTACTGGTCAAATAGGAGAACAACCTGACATAGTTGAATTATGATTTAGAAATGGATTCTCATGCATCCACTTCGCAGAGACAGAAGAAAAACTAGGGAGATGAGGAGTTGGTGCCTAGCTCTCAGCTTACTGAAGTAACTAACAAAGTTCAAGTGGGCAGAGGGCACAGTGACTTAGGACAGTCTGAATACACAAAATATTGTGGCATAAGACAAAAGCAAAGGTGTTATTTTCAAGCACAGAATTGTCAGGTCACCCACCATCCAACTACCAGAAACTATACGTAGGACATTTGGTTTCTAAGGGGGCTTCGAAAAACCAGAAAGGCTACTCCCTAAGTTTCAAGCAGTCAGCAGGATCTCTCTTCCATCTCCTGGGAAGCCCTGGCTCTGCTGGTGGCACTGCTGGAAAGCATGTCAGATACCCTAACGATGAGGTCAGGGGCCTCCTCAGACCCACAGTCAGGGGACACAAACTGCTTGTGAGACTCCACAGAACGGCCCAACAGGAGGGCTGGTATCCCGAGATCTGCGTGCCTTTGCCCGGCACCAAGCTGCACTCTTTTAAGTGACCAAAGCTATTCTTTCATGGGGGGTCACACGAATAGGAAGGAAACTGAATTTTCTGGAAAGGGCACAGAAATATATGCACCGGCACAGGCACACCGACAGGATGGAATAGGAGATGACTAATGTATAGGGTAGGGATAACACCGGGTCCCGATCGCCAGTAACCATGACAACCAGAGTAGAGTAGGCGGAGGGAAATACAAACACTGACCAGGCGTCGGGGTGACCCTAAGCCTTCGCGTAGAGACCCTGGGGTCCGGGTCAGGGGCAGGAAAGGCAGCCAGGAATGAAACCAAGTAGCCCAAAGAGACAGTATCCTCACGGAAGGGCTCGACGGGGAACCTAGCACTGTCCACGGGGGCGGCTCGCGGGGTCTCGGGGATCGGCTGCCGGACCCCGAGAAGGGAGTTACCTGGTGCAGGGCTGTCAAGCCGTCCACGTTGACCGTGTTGATGTCGGCACCCCTGGCCAGCAGCTTTCGCACCTCGTCGGTGTCCCCGCTGGAGCAGGCGGCCAGGAAGACCGCGCCGTCCTCAAAGCGGACCCGGGGGCTCCCGCGCCTCGTCGGCGGCTGCCGCTCCGCGGGCTCCTGCTCTGTCAGCGAGCCCCGCCAGCGACGCAGCTGCTCAGCCCGCCGCATTCGCGCCGACTCGGCCCGCTTCCCGCCCAGGTGCTCCAGCTCCGCCATGGTTCCGGCCTCGGCGGCGGCCGATACTATCAGCACTGGATCGCTGTAGCGGCTCCGATTGCCACTGCCCGCCTCCCTCCGAGCGCTTCAGTCGGGAGCAGAAGGCGGAGACCGCCGCACCGCCATCTTTACTCCTCCCACCCCTAGCACCGCCCGCGCGCTCCTTTGGCTTCGTGACGCAGGTGTTGCCCGGGCCCCGCGTCTTCACGGGACTTGTAGTAAACTACCTGCCTTGAGGGCACACACCGTGGCCGTGAGCGAACTACAAATCCCTAGATGCAGCAGAAAAGAGGCGAGAACGGGCTGCTCCGGCCTCCGCCGCTAGAGCCAGCGGGGTCACCTTTGCTCCAAAGCTGGATCTGTCACTCCACCCTCCTGTCAGCCACTTCCTCAGGGCATTTCGGGAGTCGTAGTTTACTCTGGACTTCACTGCTACCTAATCCTAACTCCGTAAGGATCACAACACACCTTTGGAATGCAAAGGTTGCAGTTTATCATCTCGATTTTCTAATGGGGGAGAATTAGGGTGAAAAATACCCAGAAGACCTATAACTGGTTCTAAATCTAGATTTTTGTTAATATTGTTTTAATCACAGAAACACATATGATATTACATGTTTTACACGAATACAGCCAGCGTGACACTTATTCCATGCAGAGGTCTAGCGGAAAGAGCTTACGCTTTCAATTCAGATTGAATTTAATTCCATAGGCTAGTCGCCTTAGAACCTGCTTCCTTATGTATAAAATGTGAGTAATTACAGCTCATAGGGTAGTAGTGTGGGTCATACCTAGTGCTACCTGTCGTACCTTGTTCATGCCTGCTCAAAATAATTTCCCTTCTTTCTTCCTCCTCCTCTACTCTTTCCTCCATCTTAAAAGCAGAATCCTGCTTGGTCTTCTGTGATTCCCTCCCTGTTCTCAAAGTTCTACGTCACATACTAAATTCTTAAGGAAGTAAATGGAGGCATTTTTATATTTAACATGAACTTGGGTTATAATACCTATATCTTTCCGACTGATTTAACAGCTATACCCCCCAGATCCTTAGCCCTGAACAAAACATAATTAAATGTGTAGTAAATCATAAGAGGGGCCTGTGTGATGGCTCAACAGGTTAATACTTCACCTGCCAGCACCGGCGTCCCATATGGACACCAGTTCATAACCCAGCTGCTCCACTCTTGATCCACTCCTTCCACTGGGAAGGCAGGGGAGGATGGCCAAGTCCTTGGGACCCTGCACCCATGTGAGAGACCTGGAAAAAGCTCCTGGCTCCTGGCTTCAGGCTGACCCAGCTCTGGCCATTGTGACCATTTCAGGAGTGAAGCAGCAAATGGAAGATCTCTCAGCCTCACTCTGTCTCTCTGTAAACCTTCCTTTCAAATAAAAACAAAATCTAAAACAATAATGAATGAGAACATACACAGTTATTAGCTTCTTTGAATCGTCCTGGATGTTTGAAATGTTCCCGGAAAAGCTGTTGTACAGATGATTAGGGCCCTTTAGTGTAGGTTAACATGTGGACATTTGCCCAGTCCTCAATTTTTGCTGAATTGCAAATCCTGCTCTAAGAAAATATGCAACCCAGTGAGAGGAGAGCCTCAAATAAAAATGACATGTAAATTCAAAATGTTACTATGTTTAATAACTATATGCTTTGGTTGGGTATCCTTAAATACCTTATAAATACTAATTAAGTCTTATAGCATCTTTGTGAATAGCAATATGCATAAAATTAGTAACACATTAATCAACCTTGCTTTCCTTATTACATGTTTTATAGTTACCACAAAACTTGTCCTGTCTTATCATTTGTTATAATTAGAAATCTTCCCAAGATTCACATTGAAACATATCAACAGGGAGCCTCTTCATATTCCATTTCAGTCTCTTACGAATAATTAAAATTGTTCACAAGTTCCCAGCATTCTTCCTAAAGGATAAAAGAGAAATTGATATTGGGGCTGTCATGGCTGTGCAACAGATAAGCTGCCACTAGCAACAAGGGCATCCCAAATGCTTCTGATCCAGCCCCTGTGGATGAACGGGACTGCAGTGGATGTTGGTCCAAGGACTGGGTCCCTGGACTTGGACCCTGATGGAGTTCTGGGCTCCTGCTTTTCAGTGCTGGTCATTTGGGGAACGGCCTGATGGATGCAAGTTCTCTGACTCCCTATGTCTATCTCTCTGCCTTTCAAATAAAGAAAGACTTTTTTAAAGAGAGAAATTTGTATTAATCAAATAAGAGGGAATACTTAGCTCCAAGCCTACCACCTCTTTGCAGTTCTGTGGCACCTTTAGCGTTGTGCTCCTGGTACACGACAGCTGCTCAAACATATAAACATGATTTCTATTATACTAACACACTAGTCTTCTAAAACCGGGATAAAAATGTCAGGAATCAGTAACATTGTTTCTTTTGGCTATATTTTCTTTTTGTATTCAGAAATAAGAAATACCTGATTCCAGTTGTAAAAATAAGCTAAAATTAGCCACGTCCTACCTTCCCAGGACACAAGCTTAAACTTCAACAAGAATTCAGTCTCAACACAGGAATGTCCTAGAAGCAGAAAGTACTTCCTTACTCTAACGGTTTATTTGCTTCATTTCTTCATGGGGGGGGGGGCGGGTACCAGGGCATAGGAGATTTTTACATAAAAAAATATTAATAGCAAAGGTCCTTGGATAATTTAAGTGTATAACTACCTAGAGGAAGAGAAATGCATCTTCTAGTTTTGTGATTTACAAATGTAGTAATCAATATTATAATCTAATCAATTTAAGCTCAGCCAAATAAAACCCATGCCACAAAAATGTTCATTTGCCTATGACTTAAAATTTCTTCTAAAACATATCCCACCCAAGGATCTCTAATAACAAACACATAGAATTTTCTTATTAAGTAGTAGGATACTTTAAATGTCATATATAAATACTCTAAGTGTGTTCTCACATACAAGTGAGTCCTGACAATGATATGAATTGGTATAAATAAGGTTTCTGATTTTTAACGTACAGAGCCAGCTATGGTGCATTCCTGCAGCGAGAGGTTTTTATAAACTAATTAATTGTTCATACATATTTATATTTTTAAAAAGCATAATGGTCTCTAGTTAGAACCATCTAGCTGCAAATGGTATAATTTCATTCCATTTTAAAAGCCAATGACATCTGTTGACACTTTGTGAAAATCTACCTGCTTCTGTTCCGCTAGTTAACATGTCTCCCTCTGGTGGACAAGTGAAAACTGTACACTCCACACGTGGGGTCTTCTGTCTTCCTTTCCCATCCTGCCTTTTTCTTCTGCAGTCTGCCATCTGCCTTTTTATCCTTTCCATTGTCAAAAATGCAGTTTGTGTCCTGCTACTCCACTTGTGTCCTGGGAAAGCAGGAGAAGACAGCCCAAAGCCTGGGGACTCACATGGGAAACTTGGAAGAAGTTCCTGGCTTTGGGTCGGTTCAGCTCTGGCCACTGCAGCCATTTAGGAAATGAATCCACAGATGGAAGATCTCTCTGTAAATCAACCTTTCCAATAAAAACAAATCATCTTAAAAAAAAAAAAAAGAAGAAGAGAAATTTCTGCTGTGGCCAAAATTATACTAATTTACACATTCAAACCTGATCATTACTGCTTGCCAAACCATTTCAAGCTGCATAGAGGAGCTGAGAAGAGTGAAACGAAAGCCACCCCCAACCACCAGCACATTCCCAAAGGCTATCAAGTTCCAATAGCCTTCAGATCCAAGCCAGGACTGGGGTATCTTTTTTGTCTTTAATGTTGTTTTTTTTTTTTTTTTAAGGCAGAGTGACAGAAAAAAAGACCAAGAGATTCTGGATCAGAAGTGGAGAAGCCAGAAAACTAACTGGTGCCTGTATGGGATGCTGGTGCAGCACAGTGGCCTGTTATCCCATCTCACCACTGCTTAAATTTTAACCCTTTACCTCTCATGTTTTGGCTTCTGAAGTAATACAAATCTATAATGTCAAAAATATTTAAAAATCAATGCAGACTGGGACCAGCGCAGTAGCGCAATGGTTAAGGTCCTCGCCTTGAATTCGCCAGGATCCCATTTGGCCGCCAGTTCTAATCCCGGTAGCTCCACTTCTCATCCAGCTCCCTGCTTGCGTCCTGGGAATGCAATCAAGGACGGCCCAAAGCTTTGGGTTCCTGCACCCTGTGGGAGATTTGGAGGAAGTTCCTGGCTCCTGGCTTCGGATCGGCGCAGCACTTGCAGCCACTTGGGGAGTGAATCATCGGATGGAAGATCTTCCTGTCTCTCCTCCTCTCTACATCCGCTTTTCCAATAAAATAAACAAATCTTTAAAAAAAAATGCAGACTGCAATCAGGTGCTACCTTCTCCAGGTTATAATTTTTTCCAGTTCCTTCGCTTGCTGCTCCCGTGAGGTGACTGTGTGCTCCTTCCTGGCTGACAAAGTCGGACCCCTATCGAACTCGGGTTGGAGTCCTCTGCAACCCCAAACAGGGAAGCGCGAGATGGAGCGGCGATCTCTGCGCGCTCCAGTTTGAACCCAGCGTGTGCGGAAGCGGCTTCCGGGCGCTGGCCAATAGGCGACTGCGTTCGTCGCATGGGCTTGCTGAGAGCCAATCACAGTCTGGGGGCGGGGCTACGCCAACCACCGGGGCTTGCGCAGACGCGGGAACCGGCTGCTGGCGCGGCGGCGTTGAGGTGATTCGGCGTCGGGAAGCGTTTTCCGAATCCCCAGCTGAGCGAGCGAATCACGGAGAGTGTCAGTGGGCCCGTGGCGGGGTGGAGGGGCGGCGGGGACGGAGCCCTGTTTGTGGCCGACACTGGACCTTTGCCACCGGTGGGCTGAGGCTGCGACCTCCGGCGGGGTCTCGGGGACCCCGGACGGGTGGCCGGGCGTGCGGAGAACCTGGAAGCCTGGCGCTAAGTGTGAGGCTGGGTGGGGTTGTGTGCCTAGACAGGATTGTCCTGCTGCTCCCCTTTGTTAATACCCTGAGAAATGCTGCTCTCATGGGTTGTAATCACGTAGTGCGGGAGAAGAGGTGAGCTTAGTGAGCCGGTCAGGTGGCTCCCCGCCAGGTGGTCTCGGGCAGTGTGGAAGGGGCTTGAAGAGGAAGACGGCCACAGCTGCCGTGTTGTTTTGGTTCTGTTTAGTATTTTGGCTTGCTCTAATGGTACTCTGGTATGGTATTCTGCTTACTTGTCTCTGAAAGAATGTTAGTTGTGGGGGAGCATCCTACCTGTAGATTTCAAAAAAACAACAAAAAACTAAAATTAGTCTTTGCCACTTGATTGAGCAGAGTGTCTTAATGCATGCAGTACACAAATTCAGGGTTCTAAAGAAAGGCATCACGGGTGACGAGTCTCATAAATGACAACCGTGGACTAATGCCACGATCCACTTATGCGGTGAATATAGTGTCCCAGAAAGAAATCACTTTTAGAATGTGTGGAATTAAAACTTTTTACTGTAGATTTTACAGATTAATCAATTGACCTCTGGTTAGTTGAAGTCATTCTAAGTGGATGTGGTAAAAATTAGGATCTCCTGAGCACCTGATCCTAAAATGTGACAATGCCGAGATTAATCTGTCCCCATGGGACCCTGTTCAGGATGTCTTCATTTGATTTCTTGTTGTTTGTTTTAAAACACTAAGCCAAGCACTTACCTAATTTTGAAAAGGAATACGAATTTTTAAAAAAGATTTATTTTTATTGCAAAAGCAGATATACAGAGAGGAGGAGAGACAGAAAGGAAGATCTTCCATCTGATGATTCACTCCCCAAGCGGCCCCAACAGCTGGAGCTGAGCCAATCCAAAAGCAGGAGCCAGGAACTTCCTCTAGGCCTCGCTTATAAGCCTCGCATGTAAGTGCAGGGTCCCTAGATTTAGGCCATGCTCGACTGCTTTCCCAGGCCACAAGCAGGGAGCTGGATGGGAAGTAGAGCTGCCAGGATTAGAACCAGCGCCTGTTGGGATCCCTGTGTGTTCAAGGCGAGGACTTTAGGCACTAGCCCATTGTGCTGGACCTGAAAATAGGAAATTTTTTTGCTTTCAGAGAACTTTCCTTCTAATGGAAGAAACGAGTTACTATGTATGTATCGTGGATCTTTGGTATTTATTAGTCCTCTGTCCTGAGATCTTTGAACCTCCAAACATATAACATCTTTTTTTTCTTCTGAAAATACACTTCAGAAATGCCCATGACCCATTGGCATCTGCCATGTTGCTGTGCATGTGATTTTTCAGATATTTAACTTGTTTGTGTAGTTACTTAAATGTTGCCATTTTTACAGGTTTGTCTTAAAAAGTTGCTATTTTTGATGAATAATTTTTGTATTATGAGAACCCAATGAATAATTTTAAGATCTATTTATTTATTTTATTGGAAAGGCAGATTTACAGAGAGAAAGAAAGACGGAAAGATCTTCTGTCTGTTTCTGCATTCCCCAAGTGCCCTGCAACGGCCAGAGCTGAGCTGATCCAAAGCCAGGAATGCCTTCTGGGTCTCCCATGTGGGCAAAGGGTCCCAAGCATTTGGGTCATCCTCTTCTGCTTTCCCAGGCTTCAAGCAGGGAGCTGGATGGGAAGTGGAGCTGTCTGATTAGAACGAACACCCATATAGGATTCTGGTGGATTCAAGGCAAGAATTTAGCCACTAGGCTGTGGTGCTGGGCCTCCCAGTGAAATTTACACATCATTCTATCTTGTATCTACCTTAAAAATATGTGATTTTAGTCTCAGATTAAATATTAGAAGTTTGTTTATTTTCATCAGAAAGACAAATTTACTTAGCCAAGGAAAGACAGAAAAAGATTTGTCTGCTGGTTTACTCTTTTTAAGTTTAGCTTTCTTGATTTATAATTTATTTTGAAAGAGGTAAGTTTTGATTTGATATACACTTGTGAAAATATTGTCACCCTCAAGATAGCATGGGGGTTGGTGCTGGGATATAATGGGATATAGTGGGTAAAGCTGCTGCCAGCACCACCGGTGTCCCTGTGAGTGCCATTTCCAGGCCCAGTTGTTCCACTTCCAAGCCAGCTTGCTAGTGTGCCTGGGAAAGTCGTGGAGGGCGGCCCAAGTGCCGGGGTCCCTGCACTCACAGACACTCCTGGCTTCAGACTGGCCCAGCACCCCCTGTTCTGGCCATTTGGGGAATGAACAAATCAATGGAAGCTCTTGTTATTCTCCCACTCTTTCTCTCTGTAACTCAGGCTCCCCCACCCAAACACCCAAAAAAGTGTGGTGAACATGTTCACCACCTCTGAAAGTTGCCGCATGTCCCATTGTAATTCCTTCAATCCATACCCCCCCATTTCCAAGCAGCCATTAGTCTGTATGCCTTTATAAACTAGTTTACATTTCCTAGAAATACATATAAAATGGAACCAAACCATATGTACTCTCTTTGTTTGGCTAAATACACTCAATATTATTACTTTGGTTTTAGAGATTTGTTTTTATTGGGAAGGCAGAGTTGGAGAGACAAAGATATTCTGTTTGCTAATTCACTCCCCAAATGGCCACAGTGGCCAGAGGTGTGCTGGTTGGAAGCTGGGAGACGGGAGTTTCTTCATCTTCTTGGTCTCCCACGTGGGTACAGGACCCCAAGTACTTGGGCCATTCTCCACTGCCTTCCCAGGCACCTTAGCAGAGAGCTGGATCAGACGTGGAGCAGCCATAGCTCTGATGGACTCCCATCTGGGATATTGGCACCACAGACCCAAGCTTAGCCTGCCATGCCATTGTGCCTGCCCCGCAACATAATTACTTTTGAGATCCATTCATGTCAGATTAATAACTCAGGGTGGTTTTTTTTTTTTTTGGTGTTGCATTTTATAGCTATACTATAATTCACTTGTCCTGCTGATGAACATTGGCTTTGTTGAACATTTACTGAAGTATTTCCAAACCAGACAACCTACCAACTTATAGTTCAGTGCTTTTTAAGCCTAATCACAGTTGCACAAGCATTGCTGTCACTTTCATCACATCAAAAACAGTTACTGCCCTTTAGCAGCTTGTCCCCGCCCCCACCTCCACCAGTCTGTCCTTGTCTCTGGCACTGCCTATTTTAGATATTTCAGACCCAAGCCCTGTCTTCATGAGTTTATAATTTGTTAGTGAAACAAACATGCATTTAAAAATTTTAAAGCCATAGTATTTTAGTTTTCACGGAAATTTTTACATTTTTAATTTATTTTTAAAATTTGAGTAAGTTTCTAAGAAGCAAATGAAAAAAAAAATGCTTTCTTGTCACAACGGAGATAAATAAGAGCCACCTGTTCTTTACTATCTGAATATATGTATATTTTGTCTTACTAAATGGAGGCCGTGTGCTGCCAGCTCCGCAGTCGCTGCTGCTATTTCATGGCTGTCTCTCTTCCCACAGTGTGCTGCGGCCTCTCTGGGTGTGGACAACTGCTTGTAGTTTTACTTCACGTGTGATCATGCAGAGAGCTTCGCGTCTGAAGAGAGAGCTGCACATGTTAGCCACGGAGCCACCCCCGGGCATCACGTGCTGGCAGGAAAAGGACCAAATGGATGACCTGCGAGCTCGTACGTGTCAGGGGTCTGTGGTGCGAGTCACGAGTCACCAGTCACCGCACTGTGGAAAACTGCCCAAGTGTTGCCCCCATCCTATTTGCTTCCGTTTGGAGAAGGTTGCTTGTTTGGAGAAGGTTGCTTGTCGCTTCTTGCTTCTTGACTTTTTGCAACATGTTGTGCTGATTTGTAGCCAAAAGTGTACATCAGCTCTAGAGCATTGTTAAGCCAAAACCAACATCTCAAATATCCGTGAAACCTTATGGGAAACAGAAATTTTTGTAATACTGCAATCCAAGCCAATCCGTGCGTTCTCTGGTCTTGTGGCCAACACCTTGCAGTGTAGGTTATAGATATTCTGTGTGTCCTTTGTATGACACTGCGAATGCTTGGGGTCCATCGCCATAGCATGCTGTGCCAAGGCCCTGGGAGAACAGTTCCTCTCAAACCTTGCTTTCTCAGGACCATAACCCTCATTCAGTCTGAATGGTGTGGTGACTCGGATCATCTGATTTCCTTATTCCCTTTTGACTTTTTCATTCTGGTTTCTTTTCTTTTAAGAAATATTAGGTGGATCTAACACACCTTATGAGAAAGGTGTCTTCAAGCTGGAGGTCATGGTCCCTGAAAGGTTAGTGTGAATTCCATTTTTACTTACAGGATAAGATATCATAAAACAGGGCCCTGTAATAGAGTATTAAGTATAGGGATTGAAGGACCTGGATTTTAACCTTGTTCTTATGACTTAAGATGACTTCTGCAATTTATTTTATCTTTCTGGGGTTCAGTTTTCTTTTCTAACATAAATGACTAGGCCATATGTAAGTCTTCCCCCCTCTTTAGATTGTGGTGAAATATACATAGCAAAATTGGCCATTTTGCCCCCAATTTTAAGTGTACATCCCAGTAACATTAAATGCATTTGCATTGTTGAACCATCACCAGTATTTATCTACAGAACTTTTTTTCATCTTTCCAGACTAAAACTTTATACCTACTCAGCAGTTACTTCCTGTTCCTCTGTGGCCCCAGCCCATGGCAACGAGCACATTCTTTCCAGTTCAGTGTTAAGGCCCCCCCTTTAATTCAACCCTCCTTTAAGGCTCTGCTCAGTAAGTTAATAGTTGTAGCTGTGAAAAATGGGAAGGGAATAATTGCTTATCTGATGAAATGTGAATATCTATTCCCAGGTCAGATCCTGAACCAACTAATTAGAATACAGAGAGGGTGCCTTGCTTAAGTTTTGAAAATAGCCTGGGGACTTGCCAAGGCTTAGGTCTCACTGACCAAATGCCGTTTATGAATCAGAACTGGGTCCTGTTTTGACAAACCTAACTGTAAAACAGTTGGGGAAGAGGAGGGATAATTAAGAAAATTTAAGTTTTTTGAGTGTAATCACACTAAAATTACATAGGGGGACTGTCCTGATACTTGGGAGATACATACTGAAATATTTAGAAATTTGAAAAGAGGTTTGCCTGCTAAAGGCTGTCTTCCTAATATTTTTGAATGTTAATACCAGCATTACATATGTATGTATGTGTGTGAACATGGGAAAGTAGGAGACTGTTTAAAATGTATTAAGAAGAAATGTTATAATGAAAACCCTCTGCTGTCCTACGCATGCGAAGGTACCCGTTTGAACCTCCTCAGATCCGATTTCTGACTCCAATCTATCATCCAAACATCGATTCTGCTGGAAGGATTTGTCTAGATGTTCTTAAATTGCCGCCAAAAGTGAGTAACGGGAGAAGAGTTGACACAGTGGGTTTATGTTTGCTTCATCTGTAAAATCGGAATTGGACTGTCCAGTCCGGACATCACAGGGACTGCTTGTCTGTTTGTGGGCAGGGTGCCTGGAGGCCGTCCCTCAACATCGCCACCGCGCTGACCTCCATCCAGCTACTCATGGCGGAGCCCAACCCTGACGACCCGCTGATGGCCGACATCGTGAGTGTTCCCTTGTCCCTGCAGCGCCTGTCCTACCGGCTGGGGTGGCTGGGACAGCTGGGCCTGCGGGAGCTTCTCACTGCAGCTCGCTTGTTCTCCATTGGCTCTTTTCTTGGATCCCAGTCCTCAGAATTTAAATACAACAGACCAGCCTTCCTCAGGAATGCCAGGCTGTGGACAGAGAAGCACGCACGACAGAAACAGATGGTATGTATGACGTTTGCTGCTATTACCAACTCACTAATTGTGCATGTGTCTTCAGATTCGAAGTACTGTTTATTAAAGTTCTAGGACTACTGCAGAAGGACATTGTGAACTCTAGAAGGTCAGCGAGCATAGATTATCATTGATAGGATAACATTTGTATGAGAACAGCTGAATGGATGCCAGTTGTATAACTAAATGGATATCATTTGTGTGAGAACAACTGAGTGGACAGCATGTGAATGAGAACACTTGGTGGGATATACAAAACAAAAGAGCTCCAAACAAGGGTATGGGAGCAATTGATGGGTCCCTTAGATAAGCTCAACACCTCCTCCCTTATCCTATGTGACCTTCGGTCTGTAAAAATCTGATGCCACAAGAAGCTTCGACTATTGGTTGGTAGTCAGTAGTCCACGCGTGTTATAATCATCTCTGTGCACGAAATAGATTGCTGTTGGGCAGCTAACGGGCTACATTTTTTTTTTAAAGATTGGTGGATTGATGTTATTTCTTTGAAAGACAGTTGTAAGCAGGAGAGGGAGATATAGCAGGTCCTCTGTCTGCTGGTTCACTCCCCAAATGGCTCCCATGGCTGGGTCTGAGCCAGGCAGAAGCCAGGAATCAGGAGCTACTTCCTGGTCTTACACATACAATCAGGGATCCAAGCACTTGGACTATCTTCTGCTCTCCAGGCACGTTAGCAGGAAGCTGGGATGGAAGTAAAGCCACCAGCACTCAAATCAACGCCCATGTAGGATGCTGATGCTACAGGTAGCAACTTAACCCAGTACGCCACAGCCCTGGCACCTGACTAGTTGACATGTCCTCCTATTGTAACCCTAAGTGATTATTCAGCAGAAAATCCTGGTAGCTTAGCCAGCAGTAGGTTTTTACTAACAGTTGTCATCTAGTGGCAACACTAGAGGGCAGACAACATCTGGTTAATTTATGTATATATAAATACATGTGTGTGTACATATATACACACAAATGAATAATTTGTAATCAGTGCAATCAACTTATAACAGTTATACATATAAAAGTAATGTATACTAATTTATAGATGTGAGTATATGTGTTTTAATTCTTGAGCAGGACTAGAAGGGAAGTCACTTGCATTCTTATTTGCAAGCTTTTTAATACAAGGAAGGGACTATGCATGAGAGTGAAACTAATTTTTTTAATTTTACATTTTCTATGTAAAATTCCATTCAGGGAAGAAGGAAAAAGAGAAAATTCCCCTAGCTTAAGTTGATAAGGTTTCCTCATTTAACAAAATAGAAAAGGCAAGAATATGGAAATGAGCACGTCCTAAAGAAGTCGAAGTATTTTACAGGCCAGTCTGATGGCTCAACTGGCTAATCCTCTACCTGCAAGCACCTGCATTCCACATGGATGCCAGTTCATGTTCCAGCTATTCTGCTTCCCATCCAGCTCCCTGCTTGTGGCCTGCGAGAGCAGCGGAGGATGCCCCAAAGCCTTGGGATCCCTCACCCATGTGGGAGATCTCAAAAAAATTCCTGGTTTCCAGCTTTGGATCAGCCCAGCTCTGGATCAGCCCAGTTCCAGCAATTACAGCCATTTGGGAGTGAACAGTGGATGGAAAATGTACCTTTAAAACATTTTTTTTTTAATTAAGAAATAAAAATATTTTTAACATACAAAAAAATTGAGAAAGATGCAATGCTATGTACATGGTACAGTATGTAAATCTCTTTTTTTTTTAAGATTTATTTTTATTGGAAAATCAGATAGAGGAAGAGATACAGAGAGGAGGAGAAAGCTCTTCCATCAGCTGGTTTACTCCCCGAGTGGCCAAAATGGTCGGAACTGAGCTGATCTGAAGCCAGGAGGCAGGAGCTTCCTCCAGGTCTCCCACATGGGTACAGGGTCCCAAGGCTTTGGGGCATCCTCCGCTGCCCTCCCAGGCCACAGGCAGGGAACTGGATGGGAAGCAGAGCAGCCAGAACATGAACTGGTCCCCACATATGGCATCCCAGCACATGCAAAGCGATGACTTTAGTCATTAGACTACTGTGCTGGGCCGTAGCGTATAAATCTTGCAGCAAAGAAGTGGAAATAATATTACGCTGCTGCATCTGTGTCCATGCTGACATTTATGTGGCCCTTGTGTTTTACTGGTCCACTCTGTTTTAGGTGGAAGCAGAAGAGGTGCCCGATGCGCTAGCAGAGGCTGCTGACTCTGAAGCACACAGCTCAACGCAGAAAAGGAAAGCCACGCAGCTCGGAGGCACAGAAAAGAAATTTCACTTTGATGTTTAGGGGTTTGTCCTGGTCCAGTTTATGCTTTGTTGATGTTTTCTAATTTGCCTTCATCTTTTGAAATTTTTTTTTAAATTCAGTGACATAGTTTTTGTATGCTAAAAAAGACCTTGTGTTTATGTACCTTGCTCTACAGTAATTCTCTGTAGTTTATTTATCTTGTACATATATATTATGAAGCCTTTTAAACCTGAAAAATAAATTATCACTTAATGCTGTGAGTGTGTTTATCTTGAGTGTGTGTCTGGGAGTGAAGTGGCCAGAGAGCTCTGTGATCAGGATGTTAGATATTTGGAGTTGTTGCGCTTTGTTTTGGCAGCTTAGCACCATCGCCAGGACGCGAATGTCGGACAGCTGTGAGAAACATTAACCCTGAATGCTCACGGATTCTTGCTTTTTATTTTTTATTTATTTATTTTTAAAGAATAATTGACTTTGGCATTTTCTATGAACTACAGTCTTTTTTTTTTTTTTTTTTTAAGATTTATGTATTTTTATTGGAAAGGCAGACATACAGAGAGGAAGATCTTCTATCTGTTGATTCACTCGCCAAGCGGCGGTAATGGCTAGTGCTGAGCCAATCTGAAGCCAGGAACCAGGAGCTTCTTACAGGTCTTCCATGCAGGTGCAGGGTCCCAAGGTTTTGGGCTGTCCTCGACTGCTTTCCCAGGCCACAAGCAGGGAGCTGGATGGGAAGCAGGGCTGCAGGAATTAGAACCAGCACCCATATGGGATCCCGGCGCATTCAAGGCAAGGATTTTAGGCGCTAGGCCACCATGCTGGGCCTGGATTCTTACTCTTTAAAAGACTGAAAATACGTAGGAGTAAGATGATGAATCCTCTTGCTAATTTTTAAAGATTTATTTATTTTTGGGCCCGACGCAATAGCGTAGTCATTAAAGTCTTCGCCTTGCACACGCCGGGATTTCATATGATCACCGGTTCTAATCCCAGCAGCCCAGCTTCCCATCCAGTTCACTGCAGGTGGCCTGGGAAAGCAGTTGAGGATGGCCAAAGCCTTGGGACCCTGCACCCATGTGGGAGACCTACAAGAAGTTCCTAGCTCCTGACTTTGGATCGGCTCAGCTCCAGCCGTTGCGGTCACTTGGGGAGTGAACCATCGGATGGAAGATCTTCCTTTCTGTCTCTCCTCCTCTCTATATATCTGACTTTCCAATAAAAATAAATCTTTCTAAAACAAAATTTAAAAAGAAAGATAATGACTTTAAAAAGAGAATTTATTTTCATTGGAAAGGCAGGTTTACAGAGAGAAAGGGGGCAGAAAGATCTTCCATCTACTGGCTCACTCCCGAAGTGGCCGTAACAGCCAGAGCCGAGCCAGTCTGAAGCCAGGAGCCTCTTTCAGGTCTCCCCTGTGGGTATAGGGTCAGGCCTCAGGCCATCCTCCACCACTCTCCTAAACCACAAGCAGGGAGCTGGAAGGAAAGTGGAGCAGCCAGGATAGAAACCGGCACCTGTATAGGATCCTGGCACCTGCAAGGCCAAGACTTTAACCATTAGGCTACCACACTGGGCTCCTCTTTTACTACTATTTTAAAGATTCATTTATTTATTTTGTCTTTGTTTTGTTTTGTTTTTTAAGATTTATTTATTTTTATTACAAAGTCAGATATACAAAGAAAAGGAGAGACAGAGAGGAAGATCTTCCATCCGATGATTCACTCCCCAAGTGAGCACAACAGCCGGTGCTGCTCCAATCCGAAGCCGAGAACCAGGAACTTCCTCCAGGTCTCCCACGTGGGTGCAGGGTCCCGAGGCTTTGGGCCGTCCTCGACTGCTTTCCAGGCCACAAGCAGGGAGTTGGATGAGAAGTGGAGCTACCGGGATTAGAACCAGTGCCCATATGGGATCCTGGCACATTCTAGGCAAGGACTTTAGCCACTAGGCCACGCCGGCTGGGCCCCCATTTATTTTGAAGGTCAAAGTTGCAGAGAGAGAAAAAGTGATCTTCCACCTGCTGATTGACTCCCCAAATGGCCGTAATGGCCAGCACTGTGCCAGACGAGCCAGAAGCTTCACCCCGTTCTCCCACATGAGTCACGGGGGCCCAACACCTGGACCATTGTCAACTGCTTTGTCCAGGCTCTTAGTGGGGAACTGGATTGGAAGTGGGGTGTCTAGGACATGACCCAGTGCCCACGTGGAATGCTGACATCACAGGTGGCAGCTCTGCCCGGTACACTGCAATGCTCTTCCTGATCATTGTGTTTTAATTTATTTGTTCGAAAGGGACTTAACAGAGGGGAACAAAACAGGGGCAGAGGTCTTCCATCTACTGGTCACTCCCCAAATGGCCTGAATAGGTTGGGCAGACCAGCCTGAAACCAGGAAAGCAGAACTCAAATACAGTTCTTCATTCAAATCAAGCAGAATTACCTGAACCAATACTGCTGTCTGTTCATTAGCAGGAATTGAGTCAGGTACTGAACCCCAGCAGTCCCACATGGGGTGGGAGTAGCTTGACTATTCAGCCAAACGCCCACCCCTGCAGCTTTCACCTGCTGTGACTTCTGTAGCTGATGAGGACGACAATGATATTGTAACTACTTGCTCAATGTATGTTTAGTGAACACTGGGATAAGGAACCTCCTTTTCCCAACCCTTAATGCACATCCATTCTGCCCCCTGTTCAGGGATTCTGAATCCATCCCTGCTGAGTATTGTTGTCTGACAGATTGGAGTGGTAATCAGTTGAAGAGGGAAGAAGTTGCCCCTGCTGAGCAAACACTGAGCAGTGTTGACATCGGGGCTCCAGCAATCTTGCCTTACAGCATGCGTGTTCAACTTGCAAGGAAGATGAGGAATGTGAGTTTGTGTCCATAACGACAGGTGATGCCATAAAATACAGACTGCTTGCTGACTTCTACGGAATTCGTAGGCCAGTTCTCCAGATCTGTTACCTGGGGCAGGGCAGGCAGCTGGGATGGTGCCCTAAAGCTCAGACAGTAAATCGGCTTCCTGATCCCCCCAGCTACTGGGCACAGCTTCTCACAGACCTGCAGTCCTGAAGCTTCATGCCCTCTTCCCACTAGCAGCAGTGAGGACTGTGTTCTTCCCAGCAGCCTACGGGCCCACTCCCCACAGAACCAAGATGATGTGGTGGCCAGGGAAATGAGAGCTGGGTGCAGACGGAGTTACAGAAACACCTCTGATACAGGACAGAGCCCCTTCACTGCTTACCTGTCACCAGGTGTGGTCAGTTGTGCCCACCTAACACTAGATCAGGCTCTCCCCTGCTCTATAGCACAGCCTTCTGGTTCCTTGACCCAGCCAGCTCATGCTCCTCATAGCAGCAAAAATAAGCTGTTGACAACACAAATGAAGTTGGCCTTCTGTCCCTAAGAATCCTCCCGGTGTTTGGTTTTGCCATTGGAACAGATGTGATCTGGCCCTCACCTGCTACCTCCTCGTGTACACTTAACTCTGGCACATAATCCAGACATGCTTACCTCTACCCCATTGTTCGGACACAACCATTCCTGCATCAGGACTTCCACATATGCTATTTCCACTGCCTCCCCATTGTCCATGATGGCCTTGGTTATCCCAGAAGCCTTGTCTGTCCCTTCTAAGGAAACCCTCAAGCCTCAGAAACTCCTAGCCCATTAGCTCTGTACATTTTTTTTTATAGTGCTTAGACCTATCTGGAAACATATTTATGTATACATTAGCTAACTGCGAGTACTGGGTATTTGGTGGTTAGAAGGAATTTGCCTAGTCACAAGAAATCACAAAAGTTGCTAGACGTCATCCATCCTTCTCTTTGTCTTAACGAATGCAAAGGACTTGGGCTAGGGGCAGAATGAACATGCTCAAGAGTTGGGAAAGCTGAGGTTCCTCATTCCAGGCCAGGGAAGGGTGGCAAAGGGCTACATGCCTCAGATCAAGAAGACCTGGCCCCAGCCTGGGTAGCACTCCCTTCCACTCCATCTGTTTCTCCATTTTCACTTCTCTGAAGTGGGGAGAAAGGTAGTCCTTAACTCGTGAGACGGTTGTGAGGGCTGACGGAAGTAGCACCTGCCAGAGTCCTCAGCCGGCAGGGAGGGAGACTCCATCAAGAGGTGGGCCCCAAAGAGTGGCCTGCCCTGGGCCTGCCTGCCTTCCGGGCTGCGAGCTCCCTGGGACATGCCAGCTGAGCTGTTTCTCCATGCCACACCCCTAATTAAAGAGGAGAGATGACATCCATGACTGATCATATAAACATTACAGCTTCCAAGTCCCCTCTCCCGCAGCTCCCAATCCCCCTCTGCCCCTCTCCCCAAAAGCTATCTAAATAAGAACAGATTTTACCACCCACCTAGTGGGCAGGCTCTGAGCACAGGCTAGGACCAGCTATTTATCCTCTGGCTGCTGCGGGAATTCAACACATACAAATAAAGCTGCTTTTCCAGCCAAGTGTGTATTTTTCCATCAGCGTGTGGCCCCCCTCCCCAGGTTGTCTTGTTTAGGCTGGGACAACCAGAGGGAGGGAGAGAGGCTGTGGTTTCAGAACCTGCTCCCCTGGGTAGTTTGCAGTCCTGGACTTGTCGTGTCTGCCAGAGGAGCCGGATGGAGGCTGAGGTATGGACATGGCCGTGCTATGCAGAGAAACAACCGCTCCACTCTCCTTGTTTCTCAGCATGAGGCCCCTGCCTCCCACCAGGGTCCCCAGAGCAGACCCATCCTTCCCGTCCACCTCTATCGGGGATGACAGTTATCTGAAGTGTCTCATTTGCCCCACCCTCCTTCTGTCCCTACTCTATTTTCCTCTCTGGATGCTCATTGTCCTTGCTCACCCGATCCCACACCCCACCAGACTCTGCTGCCTTCTAGTGCCTTCTTCCCTTAACCACGATCCTGAAGTTGTGTTTCAAACGAGGCTCTGTCCTGAGGGACCCTAGCGTCAGGCCTCCCATCAGAGACAATTTCGTCTGGAGTTGATTCCTTGCTCTCTATCGAGGTCCTTTTGACCTGAAAGTTGTTGCCAGGCACCAAGCTAAACTTTATACACAAAATCTTTAAAAAAATTTTTTCAGTGTTTGGCTACCATTTCATCCCATTTTCCCTAGGATGGACCTCAGACTGAAAGAGATTGTAAGTAAAATATAAGGGGCCTATTTTGTGATGTCTTAGATTGAGATGTCCCCATCAGAGTGTTGATGGGGAGAGGGGGGGTCTTCTTCAGAGCCAGCTCCTAGCTAATGCATCTGGTATACCTGCA